CTGTATTATTAGCTGGTAGGCCACTAATGAGGATCAATTATAGGATCAGAGAATATATACGTCCTGTATATGAAGCTATACATGCTCCTTACAAAAGAAATAGAGAATTCTTCTTTGTTTTCCACCTCACTGTAGTAATTTTCATTTACACTCTTTATGTTCTATTTAGAGGCCACAACTTACTTGCATCTTTTGCTATTGTTTCACCAATACTGACCACTTATACTGCACTGGAAGGATTGGCCCGGCCATTTAAACGGATGTCACTAAATATTTTTAATTTTATTCTGCTCTCATTGATGTCTGTTTTATATGGAACTGAATGGTACTTTCGTAATAACAGCAGGTATTTCCAGTTTGTAGTCATTGCTGATGTTTTATACAGTATAATGACACTTTTCCTTGCAGGCATTATTATTCTACACTTGCTATGGGTGACTGGTTTATTGGATAAACTGAAGGTTAAGTGTCGAGGCTATTGGTATTGTTTATCTGCCGAAAGATACGAGGAAGAATCTCGTATATCTAATGATTTGAGTGGATCATTTTTTGAACGCCATGATAGAGTGAGAGAACCATTACTCTCATCCTCTTAGTTTTTATGCTGGCTTCTGGTGTGTCATTTGCAATTGTACTGTCAGTGTGTTTGATTATGTTTTAGAGTACAAATAATATTGCTGGTTATATTATTGTTTGTGCAGTAATTTTGGAAGTCAAAGTAATAATTTTGTTTTTTGCCTTTAATATAAAAACCATTTCCTTTGCTCACACATTGCTTTTCATTGCATTTTAAATCATTGGCATCTGATCAAGAACCATGCATAACTGCAGATAAACAAAATAATTGGAAATTTTACATCACTCATGATTATGCTATAAATAACAATGTTTAGTGACAGATGGTCAGCAAATTCCACACCAAGAAAAGTAAACATTTTTGCTTTCAACAGATGTAGCTCTAGCTCTATGCTATTTAAGGGGTGAGCCTGTGTGAGTAGCATATTAGGTTATTTAAATGAACCTGTTGATGTTTAAGTTGGACTTTTAGTAGAGTATATCGACCATGTTTCTCTTCTATGTTTCTCTCAGTTTGGTTGTCACCTCAGTCTGTTCCCACTTTGCTACTCATTTTGTTAATGTCACAGAGAAGAATGAACTGGAACAGATTTTATGCCATAATAGCCACTCATTGGATAAAGACACTCACTTAGTGTTGTCTACTAACATTACTCATATCATTGATAATGTATCATTCTGTATAATCAATACTACCTACTCACTGACTCTTACCAGTGATTCATCACTACAACAAGCTGTCATTAACTGCAGTAATAATGGCTCCACTCAACCCACTACTGGATTTGCTTTCATTAACATACACAGCTTGACTCTAGACAGGTTAGTATGGAGTGGTTGTGGTGGGTATCTAAGTGGCAGCTCTTTGGTCATTCAAATCATTAATTCTTCTGGGTCCGTTTATTTTACTCAAAATCAATCAGCAGTTTTACTTATTGTTGGCATTGATGTACTACTAATTCAAAGTGTAAGTATTACATCTTATCATGGTTTTTCTATACTAGCTATTAATCCATTGAATGCATTGCTGGACACATTGAGTATAGAATTATCCTTAAATGTGTTCATTCATAAAACTAATTATGGTAGTGGGATTTTGTTGCTCTTTACTGATAGTTCTGAAAATGAGTCTTCTAAAACTCACAGTGTTACTGTCAATAACACAGTAATAAATGGTAATTTTGAACAAGTAACGGTTGTAGAGTGTCTCACTGATTTACAGTATGTGTCTGATAAGTTTCCAGTTGTTAATGCAGCTGGTCTAACAGTGCTTTATACCCAAAAAAAATTCTTTTCAAATGTTAAAATTAGTCATGCAAGCTTTGGTGGAAATTTTGGGTCAATTTCTGGAGCAATGCTGATATTGCACTACAAAACAGACAAAGGAAAAACATTGGTACATGATTGTAAACTTAGCCATAATGACTACATCAAGATTGGAGAAATGTGTGAAAAGTATGGAGCAAGTCTTGCATTAGTTATGATAAATGTACCAAACAGTAGTATTCCTTTAACTATTCTCAGATGTAAATTTGAAAATCATGAACATCAAAACATGAAGACTGGTTTTAATTCTGTATACATTGGAGTGTTTCAGCCTAAGTTTATGTCTAATATCACTGTCATTGTGGACAATAGTAAATTTAGTGGGAATAATTATTTAAGTTCAACAACGGGGTCATGTATTCATGCAGGAACTTACTATCCTCATGAGAACCATCAGTACAAAGTATTGAACATTGTACTTACTAATATCAAAGTGTGCAATAACATGTTTACTGATGTTAAAATTGCTAACTCAAGAAATGCAGTGTTCAAAATGCAAAATCTTGCATCACTTAGTATTGGTGGGGTCAGTTATTTTCATGATAACTATGGCTCAGTATTTAAGGTGATTGACACTAAGATTGAGCTCAGTGGTAATCTTACATTTGCAAGGAATAAAGCAGAGAGTGGAGCAGCATTCAATCTTAATGGCAACACTCATATTTATCCTGCAGTTCCTGGTAATGGATATAATGTTACTTTCATTGACAATGTTGCTGTGACTAAAGGAGGAGCTATATATGCTAATGATGACAAATCTGACTTATGCATTTTCCAGATGCTTAGCAATAAAACTAAGATGACATTCATAAATAACACTGCTGGTAAATCAGGTAGCTCTATATACAGTAACAATATGTTCCAATGTTATGGGTATAATATATCAGGATCTGGACAACTTCAAAAAGTCAAGCAGTCACTGTCACTCTATAACTTAACATTTACTTTTGTTTCTTCATCTCATCTTCATAATATCTCAACACCCTCTTTCATATTGGAGTTATGTAGAAAAGAAGAGTTTCATTTAAGCCGATTAAAAGGTGACAAATTATTATACTTATTATATACTGAACCAATATATCCAGGTCAAACAATGATGCTGCCACTTCATGCAAAGGATCTATACAGGCATAACTTGACCATGGACTATGCAATAGTAAGTTTTGCGATAGGGCTACGAATTACTGCACCAAATAATATCATTCCTGCATGGTCAGTATCAGCATATGATGCCACACATGCTCTATCAAACAAGCATCAATGTAATATTATCAACATTACACTGCTCAAGCTTTATAACAAGTCAAATCCTACAGATGACCTTCTGGTTATATCATCAATTTTTACTAAATCAGTTTTCAAAATAAAACTCAAGTTATTTGATTGCCCTATAGGTTTTAGTCTCAATATCACACTAGGAAAGTGTGTATGCCTGCATTTTCTGAATAAAATTGGTATTAAGCCAACTGACTGTTGGACTATGCATTCAATTTTTTATATTCTAAGACCGCCTTTCACGTGGATTGGACCTATGACTCACAACAACAGGGCAGTGATTGGAGCAGCAGAGTCATGCTACATATATTGTAGTTTTGATAAAAGTAGCAGCTCTAGTTCTGACTCAGCATTTATTGTGAACAGTACTACAGTAACTGTGGCTGATGATCATAAGTATCCTCACAAAACTCATCCACTCTGTCTTGCAAATAGAGAAGGACCTTTATGTTCACAGTGTTCTCCTGGTTATAGTGTAGTGTTTGGATCAAACGAATGTAAGAAATGCAGTAACTGGTGGTTGCTAATGATAATAGTATATGCAATAAGTGGTCCTATGTTTATATGCTTATTATATGCACTGAGACTCACATTAACTACTGGTACACTCAATGGCATCATCTTTTGTGCACAAATGATAGCAGTGATTTATCTTAGGCCATCACCTTACAATATAGCTAGCACACTGGTAAAAAGTATCCTTCTGCTTGAGCCTAACTTCTCTTTATGTTTCTACAATGGAATGACTGAAATTAAAAAATCCTTTTTTTGTTTATTGTACCCACTTTACCTCATATCAATAGTATTATTTTTTATTGTACTGAGTCGTTTTTCAGTTCGACTATCAAACAGAATATCAGGTTCATCAATACAGGTATTGGTCACTGTAGTTCATCTCTCATTCTCAACATTATCCCGATCAATAATGGATGTATTCACATCAATCAATGTATACACTAATACAAGTGAAACTCAAAGTGCTTGGTTCAGAGATTCTACAAAAGAGTATGGTAAAGGGAGTCATCTAGTGCTAATGATCATTACATCACTGGTAGTTGGTCCTATATTAGGTGTATACATGACTGTATTGTTAGCTGGTAGGCCACTAATGAGGATCAATTATAGGATCAGAGAATATATACGTCCTGTATATGAAGCTATACATGCTCCTTACAAAAGAAATAAAGAAATCTTTTTTGTTTCCCGTCTCATTGTTATAATTTTCATTTACACTCTTAGTGCTCTATTTAGAGGTCTTAATGTGCTAGTGTGCTATGCAATTGCTGCACCAATACTCACCACTTACACTGCACTTGAAGGATTTGCCCGACCATTTAAAAAGATGTCACTAAATATTTTAAATTTTATTCTGCTCTCATTGATGTCTGTTTCGTATGGAACTGATTGGTACTTCATTAAAAATGGCCAGTATTTTCAGTTTGTGGTTGTTACTGATGTTTTATACAGTATAATGACACTTTTCCTTGCAGGTGTTATCATTCTACACTTGCTCTGTGTAACTGGTTTATTGGATAAAATGAAGATTAAGTGTCGAGGCTATTGGTATCATTTGTCACTTCAGCGGCGATTTGAAGAAAGATCACAAAGAACCAATAATTTGAGTGGATCATTTTTTGAACCTTATGATAGAGTAAGAGAACCATTACTCTCACCCTCTTAGTTTTATACTGGTTCCTGGTGTGTGAAATTTGCTAGAACAATTATTTTAACACTTTAAATTTGTAGTGTTTGACTTTGTTGTTCAAATTTGTTATTCTTGACTTTTGAATTGAGTGGGCGTTAAAATTTAATTACACGTCACGTGATGTCACTTAAATATGTCGGCGTGTGGCCATGAGTGTTAAGCTTAAAAGGCAGTCTTCCTCCGCTATCTCCTCTTCTCCTGACGGGAGACCCTTCAAATTATAAGTCCTCAATACATATCGTTCTCTGTAATTATACTTATTATTTCAGTACGTTGCATCAAGTACTCAATCTGAGTGAATTTAATTTTAAGAAGCAAGTCATCAGAGTAAGCATTTCCTGATAGCAGTGCATTTTATATTTTAGTAAAATGTGGAGGTTTTAATTGTACAAATTGAGCAAATGCTTAATCAATAAAAGTGATAGGTTTTATTTTTTTCTGAGCTCTGCCTAAATTGAAAGTTATTTTTAACCCCTCCAAGACTACCGGCTATAATATTGGGTAGTTGTACTTGGTCTGGCTTCAGTGCTGTATTTTTAGGGCAGTACTGAGTTAACCGTTCTTCCTACAACAGCTACAAACAAGCTGTACAAGCTACCGCTGAACTGTAAACAATGTCGTATCCTATTAAATAATAATAATAATAGCAATTTTAAGTTTATTTGTTGTTGAGTTTTAACATTATTTACTGAATTAAAAAGGAATATTAAAGGTAACTATTAACGAGTCAAGGAAAGGAAACTTTACTTATGTTGATCCAACTCTCTCAATTTGCCCGCCTGACACTAAGAAGTGAGTTTTTTTGATACGTGTACATCTTGACACAGATTTGTGTACAATGTACATATGCTATAGTAATATTGTACCAGTAATACTCTGCAATTGGATTTCTCCATCATTTATTTGTGTAGCTTGAAACTAATTTAGTTGCTGTTTGTAGTTCTACACGTACATTTATGTACACAACAAAACCTCAATAAATTAAAGAAAGGTGTATGTATTCATTTGTTTAGTAAATTAAATTTGCTCACCTGAATTAATAAGTACACATGTACATGTACATGTGCATACAATGTACATGTAAGATTTCTTACTGGTTCAAGTGTTTTTCTCATTGTAGACTGTAGTGTATTCATGAGGTGGTATGCATGCATATTACAAATTCTTTCTTGTTTTTTTTATAGAAGAGGCTTTCTTATAATGTTGTTCTAAAACTCATGCTTTTCCTTTCAGTGTTTATAGTGACATTGTTAATCCTTTCATTGTTTATGATTTTGTAGACGGAATTTAGAGTATTACAGCACTTGCTTGACTGATGCTATCAAGTCGTGTGATTACAGAGAGGGTAACGGTGAGCTGGTTATCAAGATACCCAGGGATGTCTACAGTATCGAGTCAATATTTGGTAAAGCCTTTATCACTAATTATTCATTATAGTCTATTGGTTTATTTATAGAGCCGACTCCAATTAAAGTTATGATTGATTTCATGTTAGAGCAGCCAGTCAGTGGTGTGTACTTTGCTTCTACTGATCATCCGGTAACCTTTGACCTTAACCTTTATCCTTTCCAATCTTTATTTGTTCATCTTTTTTTGCTATGATGTGCATTTTTAATTATTCTTTTATTTTAAAGGCATATACTCATGTCTACTCTTATGGCTGGTTGAATTCATCAAGGTAATAGACTATAAAATTTTGCACATTAATTTTGTGTGTTTGTTCTGATGTTCTCTATAGGCTTTGGTTTCCATGTATTGATTCTTATGCTGAGCTCTGTCATTGGGACATACATTTGACGGTGCCATCATCAATGATAGCGGTTAGCTGTGGAGAACTTACTGATCAGGTAATGTATAAATGAATTATACTGCTCTCTCTCTCTCTCTCTCTCTCTCTCTCTCTCTCTCTCTCTCTCTCTCTCTCTGTCTTTCATTTTCAATGTTTACAATGCTTGTCAATGCATGCTTTCTTTTTTCAGTATTGTTTATTTTTGTAGGTATTGTCTGCTGATGGTAGAAAGAAATCCTTTCATTATTCACTCTCTTTTCCTACATCAGCTTCTTGCATTGGATTTGCAGTTGGGTCAGTTCATTCCTTCATCATAATAAATACATTAATAATTAAAAATTAATATGCATGTATGTACATGTATATTACTGTTTTTACTCATCTTGTTTTTAGTATGTTTGAAGCCTATCCTGATTCAGTGTTACCTGACGTCACTCATTATGCTCCAACTCAGACTCTTCCTTTACTTAAGAACACTGTCAGCTTTGCACACGAGGTAACCTTGTGTTCACTTGATGCATTACATACTGTAATATCTACATGTACATTGATGTATAATGTACAGCGACATAATAGAAAAATTTGTATTAAACCTAGTAATATTAATAATATTTCTGTAAGTTTTTTTGAAACATCCATAAGAGCTGTTTCATGCACTGGAAATTATAGCAAGAGTTTGATTGACTATAAGTAAAATGAAGTGAAATGAACCATCTCTCTGCTTATTTTGATTGTACAAATTCACATATTGTCAGCTTAAAAATGTTCATAAGTTATTGACTCAATATTTTAAAGCTACTATTGTCATTATTATTAGGTGTTTGGTTTTTACGAGGAACTGTTAAGCACCAGGTTCCCCCACAACCAGTACAGACTGGTTTTTGTTGATGGGATATATCAAGACATTACCAGTTATGCTGGTCTCACGCTCTGCAGTGTTAACCTACTTCATCCTGACACAATCATTGATCAAGTCATGACTAGCAGGAGAGCTATTGCACTAGCCATTGCTGAACAATACTTTGAATGCTATCTACTACCACAATCATGGTACGTGTATGTACAATTATACATGTACATGTACATGTATATACAGTACATGTACATCTTAGTCCATATACAATGTACATGTACATTAACTATGCCGTATGGTGGGAAATTTTGGAGGGAGTTAAATCTGGCGAATTGCTAAATTTTGATGATTGGTAAATTTGTGGCCACGTGCCATTGAGCATGCGTATAATGGCTCAAAATGGTGGATTTTATTTTGGCAAATGGCTATCAAAACACCAAAATTGCCAAATTTAATTCCCTCCAAAATTTCCCACAATACAATATATTATACATGTAATCATTTACAGTCATGTACATGTACATGTGCATACCTTTTTAGCATTTGCATTTAGAAATGGTAATTTATCAAAATTTCGTACTTTACAAATACATGTAAGTGGTGGAGTAACTTTTTGCTGATTGAGCTTGATTTACCAAATTTTTAACGTCCAATTTTGTTAAGTTGTTTGTCAAAATGCTAATTGTTGGATTGGATTTCACCAAATTTTATGCTCTTAATTTTATCAATAAAATACAGTAGCTCACTTCCAGATAATAATAGCTGGTATAAACTGATAATGATATTAATGATTCATTTTAACTCTTTTTTGTGAGTATCGATGTAATTATCATCACACACTTGACTATTTTTATGCACCATCAAATGATCATATTTACTAATAAAACAACAGTAGAACTAAATTTATGCCACTGTTCAAAAAAAATTTTTTAACTAAAACAGTACATATTGTGTCAGAAAAAACTTTATTTCCTGGTAATTCCAATGCCAATGCGCTTATATAAAATTATGCTGATTTTCTCTTTATCCATGTACAATGTAGGAATGATTGGTGGTTACCTGTCAGTATCTCTCAGTTCATCACTGGGCTATTCTGTAGGAAGATGTTTGGTGGCACAGACTACCAGTATTGGATTAATAGTGTGAGTGGGTGTGGCAGTAGGTGTGGCTTTATTATGTTTCCATTAGGAGCACCAGAGGGTTTGTGAGTATGAGCAGACTAATTACCTTCCTCCATTGTGTGAGGCTCTAACCAAAGGAGGTAATGTTGGCTGAGAATTATCATGTGTAATTTTGGAATATAATGGTGTTACATGTGTATGTGATTACAAAATTTCCAATACAGAATACATGTACATGTATGTACAGTCAAACCTCTTTAAGATGGACACCTATGGGCCAGCCATCACTGTCCTTTATATGGAGGTGTCCTTAAATCGGAGGTTATCCCATGCTAGTCAGACCAGAAAATCTGCCATTTTCTAGATGCGCGTTAATTAGAAAGTCAATTGCGTGGGCCATGTTCATCTGTTGGAGGTTAATTTGTACACGTGTAGATGTGTGGGGACAGTAAATCTTGTCCATTATACAGAATAGAGAGGTTCCACTATACAGAGGTTTATTTATACACTACCCAATGGCCTTATGGCCGGGACAAGAGCAACTATACATTATAGAGAGGTGTCCGCTAATTGGGTGTTCGCTTTAGAGAGGCTTGACTGTACATGTATGTCTATGTCATCTGTTTTTTATCTGAGCATGCCAGCAATTTTTTTACTACATGTACATTATTGAGCAAATTTAAAAATTTTGAATTAGCTCAATTTTTTTACACAGCATAAGTACATGCATTTCAGAAAATATACAACAGATGTAGCTAGCCTATCCATTAATAGAAGAGTTTTTAAGTACTTATTGTTGCCATTTTTAAGCTGTAGTTTTTCTTGCTTGCCCAGGTCTAGTCTGTTCATTTATAATTCCTTTTAATCTACCAAATGATGATCTTATTGTTGTTCTGTTTATTATTGTTGTTGTTTATTATCATTACTCTTTTTTTGTTGTTGTTATTTTTTAGAAGTGACTCCCACATCCTTTCATTCACACAGTGAAATGGAGCTCTCCATTTTACGTTCTAAAGGACACTTGATATTAAGAATGCTCCAGCAGAAGATCGGCCATGATCTCTTAGTACAGGTACCCTGTGCATTGAACATGCTTTGCTAAACATGTTGCATGATTTATATCTGTAAATGATTAAAATAAATAGTAGTTTACGTTTATCATCTGCATGTATCTTAATTATTAAAAAATGTACTCACCTCTTTGCTATTAAAAAGGGATTATTGGTATTATCAAGAGTGGATAATTATTTAGGGAGAGTGTCTAACCTGCCTATATTCTGTGATACCACAGCGCGTATGTTTACATCCGTTTTTTGCAAGTATACGGAGATAATCCCAGTAATCTTCAAAATTATGGGTGTGGTTAATAAAATGGCGCTTGAAGCATGCAGGCAACTTTAAGACTTATATCTCCACTCTGAGGATCATGTAGTGCGAGAAACAAGGAGGAGCACACAGGAATATGTTCTTCTAATGGTTGGCTATTTATTATTTGCAGCTTTCTGACTTGGAATGAATATAAGGACGCAAGAATGCTTACTTGGTGCTAATAACCATGCTATCATTGCTATGTAAACATACGCGCTGTGGTATCACAGATTATAGGCACGTTAGACACTCTCCCTAAATAATTATCCACTCTTGGTATTATCAATATTAGTATACATGTACAATGTACATGTACATGCTCTTTGTAAATGTACATATTATGTGAACTATTCCTCTTTTCTTCCCCCTCTCTCTGTCTCTCTCTCTCTCTCTGTCTCTCTCTTTCTATCTTTCTCTCTCTCTCTCTCAAGGTCTTCAATAAGATATTAACTTTAGCTTCATCAGGAGGTTCTGCTTCAACTGATTATTCTCAATGGCAGTCTGTGTATTTATCCACTGCAGGAGTAAGTACATGTACATGTACATATTATAGTATTAATGATACATGTACATTGTGTACATACATGTACATGTACACTGACAGACATTATGACTGATCAGTAAAGATCATGTACCTGTACATAGAAGCTTGTCAAAGATCCTATTGAATGACAAGTATAAAATGAAATCATGTATAAAAGAACAATACATGTACGTATGATATAAGAAAAAGAGTTTATACATGCATATAATGGGTAAACACCATGAGCTGTTTTCATGGAATGACAAGTGGTTAATCAAATCTAAACTTGTGGCATTTCATTGCATGGCTTCACCTATTAGCAGTCTCAGAGTAGCCTTCCTGGAATGGAAAAGTCATAATCCTCAACCACCAGTAGTAGTTTTATTGTCTTCACTAAAACCCATTTCAATCTATTTTAACTTGTCCATTAATGACTATTATTATTCTCTTTTTAGTTCCTAAAGCTAGTATTGACCGTTTCTGGTAAAGACTTATCCCACTTCATGAGTCAGTGGGTTGGTCACAGTGGAGCCCCCTTGTTCCATGTCTCCTTTAACTACATTCGCAAGAAGAACCTTGTGGAGCTTCACATGACACAAGACACTCCAAGAGGAGGAGGATCTGGTGGGGGAAAGAAATTTGTAGTGAGTTAATTATTATTATTGTTATTATTTGCAATGTAGTTTCATTATCCTCACTAGCGAGAATACTGTGTAAAAAATTTCACACAATGTTCATTGTACATGTATTGCTATTGGCACTATGTAATGTACATATACATGTACATTTTATGTAAGACTTTGTATAGCTCTGTAGCTTTATTGTTTGATCTTGCAATCATTGCTATTTTAATTAAAGCCACCCGCCAATATGAAAAGTCATTACATATTAAACATGTACATGTACTTACAATGTATACCTATAAATTTACTTACATGTAAGTAGTATATAGTTCTTGTATGTTATTATTGGCTATTCATGTACCATAGGGTCCAATGACAGTATCAGTCCAAGAGTATGATGGGTACTTCACTCATACCATACAAGTGGAGGAGAGTGTGTCTGTCTATGAACTGCCTTGTCACTCTAAGATACGCAAGTTAGTACTCCCTCTCTCTACTTTATTGATGGTTGTAAAGTAATTTTATTGTTAATTTTATTTCTTAATTTTATTTATTGATTTTATTTATTAATTTTATTATAATTTATTACTTTATTTATTAATTTTAGTTATTACTTTTATTAATTTTATTTATTGATTTTATTTATTGATTTTATTTATTGCTTTTATTTATTAATTTTATTATAATTTATTACTTTATTTATTAATTTTAGTTATTACTTTTATTGATTTTATTTATTAATTTTATTATAATTTATTACTTTATTTATTACTTTTATTAATTTTATTTATTGATTTTATTTATTAATTTTATTTATTAATTTTATTTATTACTTTTATTAATTTCATTTATTGATTTTATTTATTAAATTTATTAGAATTTATTACTTTATTTATTGATTTTATTTATTACTTTTGTTTATTAATTTTATTTATTAATTTTATTTATTAATTTTATTTATTACTTTTATTGATTTTATTTATTGATTTTATTTATTAATTTTATTAGAATTTATTACTTTATTTATTGATTTTATTTATTACTTTTATTTATTAATTTTATTTATTACTTTTATTTATTTATTACTTTTATTATTTTTATTTATTGATTTTATTTATTAATTTTATTTATTAATTTTATTATAATTTATTATTTTATTTATTGATTTTATTTATTACTTTTATTTATTTATTACTTTTATTAATTTTATTTATTAATTTTATTATAATTTATTACTTTATTTATTAATTTTATTTATTAATTTTATTTTTTACTAATTTTATTCTCTTACTACTTTATGTTCAGAGCTAAGAAAAGGAAGATGCCATTGTGTCACGGAGAAGAAATTGAAATAGAAGTCTCCAGTTTAGAGTAGGTCCATGCCATACATAATGATTCAACAAGACTTATGCCATTAAATGTACTTTTATCATGTACATGTATTACAGAACCTGAATTTGCATTCAAATAACATTCAGATATTGTGTCTGAACATTGCTTAATTTAATCTGCCATTTTGATGAGGCAGTCGGACAAATTTTCCACAGGATTTCGGCATAGTCCTCATGCAGCCTTGTCTCCCAGTACTTTAGTTAGTATGTAGTATTTAGATAAAAATTACAAGGAGGAAATTCTCAATTTTTATGATTTTTCTTTATACATATACATGTTCTTATGCTGTGTAGGAAGTTTGAGCTGATTCCAATCAAATTTTAATTTTTTATGAATTTTTTTAAGTTACTCAAAAATTGGGCCAAAGTCCCTGTACTATAGTACAGCGATTTTGGCCAAATTTCATCAAAAATGAAAAGTAGAGAATTTATCATTTTTATAATTTTTCCTGATACATATACATGATCTTACGCTGTGTAGAAAGTTTGAGCTGATTCCAATCAAATTTTGATTTTTTATGAATTTTTTAAAGTTACTCAAAAATTGGGCTTAAGTCCCTGTACTATAGTACAGCGATTTTGGCCCAAATTTTATCAAAAATGAAAAGTAGAGAATTTACCATTTTTATAATTTTTTCTGATACATATACATGATCTTATACTGTGTAGAAAGTTTGAGCTGATTCCAATCAAATTTTGATTTTTATGAATTTTTAAAAGTTACTCAAAAATCGGGCTAAAGTCCCTGTACTATAGTACAGCGATTTTGGCCAAATTTCATCAAAAATGAGAAGTAGACAATTTACCATTTTTATAATTTTTCCTGATACATTACAGATACATGATCTTATGCTGTGTAGAAAGTTTGAGCTGATTCCGATCAAATTTAGATTTTTTATGAATTTTTTTAAGTTACTCAAAAATTGGGCCAAAGTCTCTGTACTATAGTACAGCGATTTTGGCAAAATTTCATCAAAAATGAAAAGGGAAAATTTTTCCATTCTAATAATTTTTTGTGCTACGTATATATGTTCTTATGTCGAGTATAAAGTTTGAACTCATTCCGATGGAATTTGAATTTTTTATGAATTTTAAAAGTTGCTCCAAATGCCACCACATTGCATGTACATGTAGAATGTACATGTATAATATATATTTTCCCTGTAGTGCTGAAGTCCCTGTGCTGTGGGTTAGGGTTGATCCTGAGATGCAGTGGATACGATACTTGAAGCCATCACTACCGGACACAGTGTGGATCAATGTGCTCCAGTATGAAAGAGATGTGGTGGCACAAGTTGAAGTAAGACTCGTACTTTTGCTGTACTCTTACATGTAGTCATGTACATGTATATGTAATTGCCAAACTTGCATCCATGCATGTATGTTTTCGCCATTTCTTTTCACTCAGGATTTTTTATAGAATTGATTGCATTGCAAATTGTAAAGCAAAAACATTTTCTAAACCAATTTTTTGACTAAGCTTAGTTTGACCAAACATTTTCTCATCATTAGTAAATTTCATTGACTTAAACTTTCTGCAAGGCACAAATCTGCATTTAGTGATATTTTTAACCGATTTCTGGAAAATTCTCATGATTCAGAATGTCAGATATTTTGACATGTACATGTATACATGCACATTTACATGTATCAATATTTTATTAGCAGACAGATGACCATTACATGCATGTACATGTACATGTAGTAATTAAAGTCTTTCTTTACAGGCTATTGATGCTTTGAAGGAGTATCCATCACAATCAGCAGTCAGTGCATTGAGTGAAGCCATTACTAATTCATCATTTTATTATCACGTGAGGATAAAAGCTATTGAAGCACTGGCTCATGTAAGTAATTATTTATTATTAATTTCTTCCAAAGTTACCCGCATGCAAGTTTGTATCTTGGGTCTTTGGTGAAATTTGGTCAAGAATGATTGGGAGAGAATTCTCCATTTTTATTACATTTTCTGATGTATACATGCTATTATGTTGTGTAGAAAGTTTGATCTGATTTCAATCAAAATTAATTGATAGTTGTTCCAAAATGTGGCCAAAATATCAATAATAGTAATTCTGTGTTTGTGTGTGTGTGTTATTTTGATATACTGTATAGCGAGAAATTTTTGTGGATTTTGCGGCTTTTTTTTTCAAAATTCACGAAAATAAAATTTGTGAAAATCAATTTAATACTGTTCAAGATGGCCGAAAAGTAGAAAACCGTGAAAATTAAAGCCACGAAATTGATTTTTAGACGGATCCGCAAAATTTTTGGGCCACGAAAATTTCTCGCTATATGGTAATTGATCCCATGTCTGACTGCCATGTTTTTGTACATATTACATGTATACATGTACATGTTCATGCTACCCCACTTTCATGTGATACAGATACAATTTCAAGTGATACATGTATTATAGTTACAAAATATTGAACTATCACTTTATGTACAAGTATGTGCATTGAGGCAATTAGCCCTGTTGTTGTTTATTATTATTGACATTATTATTATTATTATTATTATTATTATTAATAGGTTGTTAGTGATTTGATATCATCTGGTGAAGGTGTTGGCCCTGATCTATTAGTGAGACTCTATCGTCAGTTGTTCTGTGTGTCTCAATATTCTAACACAACTCTTGTGAGGTCTCATGACTTCACTAATATAGCTCATTACTTTATACACAAGGTATGGTATATCATAGGGTACATGTACAGTTACATGTAACAAATAGTGATTGTTATTAAAATTACTACTTTCATGTATTCATTAGCTATTGTCATTTTTATTGTTGCTATTTTCATTTTTCTTTTAAGTATTATTATTATTATCATTATTATTACTTTTCATTACTACTATTTTCATAAAGCCTAGTTTCTATATAGCCCTACATGTATAGTTTGACAACATATACATGCACTGTCACTACTGTGCTTGTAGAAATAAAGCCTATTTTTTACTCCACTACACTATAGGCCAAGTTGTTATAAAAACAGAATTCATACAAGAGCCTTAAGGCCTTGTAGCCTTATTTTAGTGAAGCCTGGTTTCTATATAGCCCTGCATGCACTATAAAGCTTTGTAGTAACTCCTCACACATGTAGGCCAAGTTGTGATTCTTGTGAAATACAGAATTCATACAACAGCCTTACTAATCATCCCTCATCCACAACAAGTACACATACCTATGGATTCATAATGGAACTATCCCATGGATAATTCATCCCATAAAGAGATGAATTATCATTTTTGTTATCTCATTATTGCATTACTGTTGTTGTTCATTGTTATCAATAGGCAATGCCTGGTCTCATTGCTAGTGTGAGGAATTCCCACGGTCATTGTCCACCCGAGGTGTTGACTCTGTTACAAGACATCATTAAATATTCAGACAATTCATCAAATAAAGTGAGAGGGCAGAGTGAGGTTGAGGTTGATTTAAGCTACACTTGTGATTGTTATTCTTATTATGACCATGTACATGTACATGTACAACTCTCAGAAATCCCTTTCTTTCATATGTGTATCTGCATGTATACGTGTATTACCTCTCTCCCTCCCCTCCCTCTTATTTTTTTACACAATGTATTTCTCTCTCTCTCTTTCCTTCTTTCTCTTTCTTTCCTCCATTTCTCTCCAGTATTGTGATGGTTATTTCCGTGCTTCATTGGTGGATGCTCTATCACAATATGTCACTCCTCCTCTTGCTGTCCTTCAATCCATGCAGTGAGTATTGATTAGTATAAGCAGTGTACAATTTGATGATTTAATTGCTATCATGATAGATCAGATAATCCTTTGGAGTCTCTTCAAGCTGACATGAAGGTAATAATAATAATTATTTAAAGGTTTATTTCGTTATTATTGTGTGTGCTTGTAGATTGTTTTGCAAGAAATAGTCCAGTTTCTCAATATTGATACAATCCTACCAACATACAAGAAACCAATCACTGTTAGGTATACTGAGCCTCCTCTCTCTTTGTCTCTCTCTCTCCACCTCCCTCTCTCTCTCTCTCTCCCCTCCCTCCCCCCTCTCTCTCTCTCTTTCTCTTTATTTCTCTCCCTAATCTTGATGTGAATCTTATTAGTTGCCTAAAGGCTATTCGTGTTCTCCAAAGAATGGGTCGTCTTCCCAGTAGTAGCACCATATTCAAACAATACAATCAGTACGTGACAATAATTACTTGTGTAGTCATGTACATCTAACAATACACAGGCCTAATCAGTTCATTGATATATGTGTCACTGTGTTTCAAATGATAGCTGATATAATACAAGGTGTGTTGTACTCACATTCAACTCATTTTATATTGGAATTGTATATTTATTTTTAAAGCGAAGAGGATCTCAATTATTTGCTGAATATAATTGATGATCCATCTCAGCTGCCAATCATCAAGTAAGGAAATGGGTTCGTGTGTCTTTATTATGTGCATGAGCAAGTTAAACATTCTACACAGTTTAAGTCAGAAGACTCCTTTCACTCGTAAGAGTGAGTCAGCCCTCAACACTCCATCACTAGTGGATAGACTCTGGAATATGACGGTAATTAAAACAATACTGTATAGCGCTTTAATTTGGCAGGGTTTTATTTTGGCGATTGGCGGTCTGCAAGTGGAATCACCAAAATTAAAACCGCCAATCATTAATGCGCATGCTCAGTAATGCACGTGTACATAAAAAAATCGCCGAAGTAAAAACCACCAATTACAATTTTTACAGCAAAGTTGCCAAAATAAAGTGCTGCCAAAATAAAGCACTATCTTTTATCAAAACATGCATCAAAACATGAAGACTGGTTTTAATTCTGTTTATGTTGGAGTATTTCAGCCTACATTTATGTCTAATATCACTGTCATTGTTAACAATAGTAAATTCAGTAGAAATAATTATTTAGCTTTAACAACAGGGTCATGCATGCATGCGGGAACTCACTATCCTCATGAGAACAATCAGTGCAAAGTATTGAACATTGTACTTACTAATATTAAAGTGTCCAATAACATGTTAATTAACAGATGTTAAAGTTACTAACTCCAGAAATGCAGTGTTCACAATTCAAAATCTCGCAACACTTAGTATTGGTGGGGTCAGTGATTTTTCTGATAACTATGGCTCAGTATTTAAAGTGATTGACACTGAGATTGAGCTCAGTGGTGATCTTACATTTTCAGGAAATAAAGCAGAGAGTGGAGCAGCATTTGATCTTAATGGCAACACTCATATTTATCCTGAAGTTCCTGGTAATGGATATAATGTTACTTTCATTGACAATGTTGCTGTGACTAAAGGAGGAGCTATATATGCTAATGATGATGCATCTAACTTATGCATTTTCCAGATGCTTAGCAATAAAACTAAGATGACATTCAAAAATATCACTGCTGGCAAATCAGGTAGCTCTATATACAGTAACAATAATGTTCCAATGTTTCAGGTACAATGAATTAGGATCTGGACAACTTAAAAAACCAAACAGTCACTGTCACTTTATAACTTAACATTTACTTCTGTTTCTTCATCCCATCTTCATAGTATCTCAACACTTTTTCGCATTGGAATTATGTAAAGCAGAAGAATTTCATTTAAGTCAAATATAAGGTGACAAATCACTATACATATTATACTGAACCAATTATATCCAGCAGGTCAAACACTGATGCTACATTTTTGTGCAAAAGATCTATATAGGCATGCAATGATCAGGGACTTGACAACAGGAAGGTTTGCAAGGATGATGTGTAAACTAGATACTCTCACTGCTTCTTGAACAAGGACTTGTATCAAAATTAGTACTTCAGTGCAGTTTCACTGAACACTGTTATTGTTTGTGTAACAATTAATACTAAAATACCACAATACCAATGGACACCATCTGAAGAAATAATTATTATAAATGTTTTTAAAAAATTAACAAAAACAACTACATGTACATAAGAATAAAAAAACAAGATTGAGTAGGATTCTAGAGCAAATTTGTAAAAAAAGTAATGGAAACAAGGACAAGTAGAACTCTGAACAACTGACAATTCATATACATGTAAATGAACCTATACTCTTATTTTAAAGTACAATTAGTGAAATTTTCACCCTATAATTTACACCTCAAGGTGTCAACATTGATTAAATTGTGTCAGTAATGACTTGAATTTAGTCATCAGTTGTTACTGCATTCTCAATGATACTAGCTATACTACCGTACGCGTCTTAATTTTCGAGGCGTATTAAATTTCGTTATTTTCGTGCTCACCTTAAATCCATGAAATTTAAACCACCTCTAATGCCATTCTATTGTATGTAGACTATGGCCAGAACACGAAAATTAGTTCACACAAATATTAACTTTTGAGCAAATTTCATTGAAAACACGAAATTTTGAATTGAATGTGTAACTGGATGTGTACTTAAAAGTTGGCATTGGAGAAATACTGTTTTATAATTTTTCCCTGGAAAAAAAGCACAACAAATAATAATAACAAAAGTAATAACAATAATAATAATTAGTAATAATACCTGTAATAAGACATGATAAAAAATTATCATTTTAAATATTTGTCACGAGCGTCAGGTGATGAGAGGAATTTTTTGAGGTCAGCTTCTGCTTTTCCAAGCTGATTAGGGAAATTTTTACAAACTTTTAGAATCTTAGCCCAAGTGAAATCATTATTGGAGTCACTCCACCTCTGAAATACTTGAATGAGATTGGTTATGGTTAGATTAGGAAGAGGAGTGAGGTCAGCCACATTGACAGACAATCCAATGCCGATTATCATATAATGGGCAGCAGAATCGATGAATAGCTTCATGAGATCATCTTTTTCTGGCTTCTTGTATAATAGAGGGTCTATGGTAAAATAAAATAATAATAATAATAATAATAATAATAATAGTTCCTTACTTTCATCTGATAACTGATCACTAATTTGTGTTCCATTGTTACTCTCAGCAGGTCCTATACAAAAGTGATAATTATGAATAACAGTTGTTAGTATACATGTACATACCTGATTCAAACCAGTACCAATGATCACTACTGAGAGTAGCTGATACAGGACAAACTGTACAATTGACAATATTATTACCATCTTCGTTAGATCTAACAATACAGTAGCAGCTATTCCTCTTTGTAGGGCAAACAAATGCATTGACATAATTATGCTTCAGATGCATGGCATTACTGCTATTATCAATAGCTGCTGTGATTAGCTCATGTACTAGCAGACAATGCTCAGTAGGACCAGTAAAGTACACCTCAATATGAGTATAATGGTTGATGAGGTGAAATGTGTCCTCCTTCCCTTTGAAGGCTATTTTTAGGGACATAGCATTTCTAAATTTATAATACTCTGATGTTGATGGAGAGATTTTAGTGGCATATTCTTTCTGATTAAGTAGATGTACGATGGTTAAAGGGAACAATCCTGTAGGAACTGGTAAGATCTCTTCACTCTTTTCTTCCATCCAGACTATAAGAAGTGGCTTAGCAATAGTCTCTTTAATTAAAATTGGTTCATTGTATGAAGGAAGAGCATAAGGAATGAAGTATTGTCCTTTTTGTTCATCTTTTAGTTCTGTGATGATATTAAGATAAAGGAGGAGTTTGATTAGGTGAGGCAACTGGAACTCTGGCAGGGAAAAAACAACAGATTTTGACTTCAAATGCTCAAAAATATTTTCATTGAAAAATCCTTCCTTGAGATTATTAGTGACAATTTGAGAAACTGGCTTGATTAATATTAATGCTCGGGCATTTCTATCATTGACATATGTGAGAGCTAATAATTGTGAAAGAATCTCAAGGATAGGTTTAGTATCAATAAAGACAACATTTGTAACTTCTGGATAATACAACATGAGACTGACATCATGAAAATATCTCAGAGCTTGTTTAGTATCTTCCTCTTTCATGCTATATCGTTCTCCAATAGATAAAGCTTCTTTAACTGATACAATACTCTGCTCGGGCAAAGAGAGCTCAAATGCAAACCATCGAATTGGTATTTTAATTTCGAGTGAAGCATCGGAACCATCCAACCATATTGCCTTGCAAATCTCTTCACTGTATTTAGCTCTTTCTTCTGATTCAGCCATCGTATTGACAGGAAATATAATAGAATCATCATCAGATTGGTGAATAACGCAATTTTGTAAGTGAGATTTTAACGAAGACATTGAAGACTTTAGAATTTCATTCTTTTCCTTTAAAGTACATGTAGCATCACTCACCTTGTCATAATGTGTTCCTAATACAAGATGCATGGAGTGTGTTGGTTTCTTGGAGATGCAGGAAATATCAAGAGGCTTAAAACTAGCTCCAGTGGAAACTGCAGACTGAAAGAATGCTAACTGAGTTGACTTGGAGTGGCATGGGAAGTCTTGTCCATCAATCCTGTACATCAGATCAAACCTCTCATTAAAAGGCTTAGATAGATCGAGTGTTATGATATTGAGAGAGGCTGCTCTAGTGAATAAAGGCAGTAGCTCCTGGTATGCTGGCTGACCACCGGAATCAATAACATACAGCCAATGATCACTTTTATGAATTCCTTTCGGTTGAGTGGCTAAAATTTCCTGGACGACTGCTTCGGTATGATACTCTGGAGCTACATGTACATGTACTTCTGTCCTTCTCTTCTTTTTTGGTGGAGACTGTGGAGTAGTAGATGAATCTGGTCGTATTTCTATTGCTGGTTGAGTATTATCTGGCAACGAGAGAACTATGGGCAGGGGAGGCTCTTTTGTTTTCTTTTCCTGTGAAACTGCATCCAAACTGGTTGCTAATTGGTCAAGTAAATTGGCTCGAGTCACTCGATTCCAAATCGTTTTATTGCACACAGCAACTCTTATAGCCCTAACGGCAGGGCAGGCAATTGGTGTGCTTGTATCATTAGTGGGTGGGTCTTCATTTAGTAGGAGGAGCAGTGAGCAGGTTTTACCAGCTCTAGGAGCACCAATCATATTAACACGAGTGACAGTTAGATCCACACTCCCTTCCTCCATCCACTTCCCTATAGCATCTAGTATAATTAATAAACATAGCAGGAAGTGTTGAATTAATATGTACACACAAAGAGGTGTGTTACATTACTAGACTAGTGTAAGTGTAAGTGTTACATTAATGAGTGTTTTATCTAATCATTACTAATTGTATGTTTGCATGTACATGTAGACATGTACATGTACTTATGTTTGCTGTAGTACAATGGATTCCACATCTTGGCAAGGTTTCATTATGGCAGTGCATTTGGCCCACTTTACAGCAATATTTTTATTAGAGATAAAAGTTTTACTATCGGGATGAGCATGAGCGTACATGTACCTCAGATAAGTAAGCATGCATTTGGTAAATGTACATGTGCATGTACATGTACATGTACACATTAATACCTTGCATTTTTTTCTTCTGATATTCATTAATGTCCAGTACTGACTGTACTACTAAATCATCAGTACTAGATTCTAATAATAATAATAATACTAATAATATTCACACTAATTCTAATTTTAATAATAATAACAATAACAATAACAATGTTTGTGGCCATTTCATACAAAGACTTTCTATAATTCTCTGGCGCTTCAATGCATAGATGTGGCTATGTCGATCTACTACTCCTATATCAGTGGTAGATGGTTTCATTTAACTTTGCTTTTATTAGTAACGCGGTAGCGTTACTAAGTAGGATTCACCCCAAACAAAATGGCTGCCACAACTTTTGCAGCCTTGCTATACCAGGAAAACGAGCTCCTATGCTTACCAAACTCATCTTGACCAGAGGAATCCATTGGTACCACTAGCGTGACTCTAGACCTTGTCTAAAAGGAAAGCCAAAAATTGGCGAACTGGCCGTTTTGTTCAGCCACATCATCAAGTCAGATGTCCTGTCAATCCAGTTGTCGGTGTGTATCTCAGTATCCAGTGGCGGATCTAGGGGGGGGGTTGCTGGGGTTGCAACCCCCCCAAAACATTCTAACTCAAAAAATTTTTAATGTTTTCATTGTTGCAACAGTGGTAGAAGTGCTAACCACCTAGTTTATATAGCAACATTACTGTGGTTAATGAATATAATTAACAAAACAAGAGCTCCAAAAATGGTGTAAAATGTTAATTTTACGTGATTTTAACCACAAAATTGCGCCCAAAAGGGGGTGTGGCCAAAATCGCGGCGCGCTTCGCGCGCCATTTTATTTCTCAACCCCTTCATATCCAAAACCCTGGATCCGCCCCTGCAAGGGCTCAGCCTCGTAGATTATTAGCTGCAAAAAAGCAAAACCTCTACCTTAAGTTGCTGCTAGAAAACTCCTGACTTGTTTTTTACTTTAAGCCTTGCTACACTGACTTTAAAAAGCCATAAGATATAAAAAGGCTGGCCAGTTTAGTGCAGTCAGTGACAAAGCGGGTGACATTTGCTTGATTTTCACAGTTTATCTCAACAAAAAGGAGTTTCATAGTTACTTAATTGCACCTGTAACCTTTTCAAGCAGTTGGAGACGTCTTTGAACGGTGTTTTTGCCTTATCTTGTTGCTAGGAAGTAGGAAAATCATGACTTCTGATTCCCGTGTGCTGATCGCCATTTTATTTTCTTTCGGCCACTCCCACTTTCAATGAAATA